CTACTTTCAATCTATACCAAACCCATCAAGAGACTCAATAAGATAAGGTCCTTTCTCAGCTCTATGCCTTACGTCAGTCAATGTTCTCAACACTCCATCGTGCATCTTAGTTCAAACTATTGAGATCCCTACTACACAAGCAGCATTGTTTCCCTTGAACTCTTTACCACCCTTCGTGCATTGATAAATAGTGAACCCATGTCTATGAGCAGTCACATGATAAGAACAACTAGAATCAAACACTCAATCATCACCAGATGAACTCGTGGTGACTGCTAACATGTAATCGACATCCTTGGAACTTTTCTATATTACAAATATTAACATCACTTGTAGACTCCAACTTAGCCCCTTTACCCTTGTACTTCAAACTATCTATCCTATAGTGTCCTACCTCATCGTAGTGATATCATAAATAGTTCCAAACGTTGGACCTCGATTTAAAACGACTCTTCTATTAGCTACCTCCAAACCCTCTATGTTCGTCTCTATCTCAAGAATAAAACCTTGCAACATATCATGTGCTAAGTTTTCTTCTTATAACTTCTTTTGCCATTCCTTAAAAAACAAGGCAGATTTCATCTTTTTCAAAATAATCGTAGTGCAGCCTTGTAACGGCGAATCAATAAAGTGTTCAAAAGAATCCAGTATAGACGCCAACAACATGATTTCAGGCCTTGTTTCTCGTCAAGCAAGGCTGGATTGACGTTCTTTAACTCCGTTGTGAGTTGTTAATGCCTTTAACCACTTGGAATTGAACATCCTGAGTAGAATACACAAGCGATTGTTCAAAACCTATTGATAAAGTGTCTCCAGTTTTACCCATAATTCTGCGACATCCTTCTCTTCGACCAATTCAAGCAATACCTCATTTGACAGATTCAACAGCTCCAACTCCACATTATCGGCCTCTTTCATCCAACGCATTTGCCAAACCCTGGATTGTTAGCAGACATGCGTCGTGATGCTTCACAACACCAAGTTGTTCTTTCCAGTGAATATCTCAATATCAACTCTTGTTATGGACATAATTGCAAAGCAACATTTCCAGAAAGTGATTGGATAAGTAAAAGCTCCAAATCAAGTCTATAACCCTAGCCTTAACCTTGGTATCAGTTGTTGTGAAATAACGTGGAATCTAACAGATATTGCAATTCAAGTCTAATGCGAAAAGAACAAATTACCAGAGAAATCAACAATGAACAATAAATAACACTAGAGATTTACGTGGTTCGGTCTGAAAGTCGGTACCTACTCCACGAGGAGAGCCAGCCAGCAAAAAGCCGATTATGAATTCGGAGAATACAAAGTTTATAATCGCTTAATCACGGAAGTGTTTCCTAGGCCTAATTTATACCCAAAGAAAGTGTTATCTCACAATCTCTTATAGCATTCTCACTTAGAAAACTCACAGGGATAAACACTATATGCTCCTCTTGTTTTATCGAGTGTGTAATAATCGAATAGAAATATGTTTTTATATGTTCTTATGTAACTTGCCAACTCAAATTAGAAAACCCTGATTTTCTTTCTTTTTATCTTTAATCCAAGATCATACTCCACAAATTTTGGACTAGATTTGCTTAAAGATTGAAGTCCCAGCTAGAAGACATCCTAAATTCGGGCAAGACGGGTTTCTTATATAGGCTCAAACTCAAAACATAATTTAACAACATTAGTGAAACCATGCCGATGCAATTTTTATTACTGGCTGCATGTGTCCTTCATAACACAAGGCAGAGGAGTTTCTAATGGCATATTGAGTTCCCGGCAAGCCTATCTAGACATAATCGAGTTGTCTTAAAACCAGCCCGTGCAGGGAGTCTTGTAATTGTTGTCAAGTCATTGTTGTGTCGGGATGACAGCAACACAGCTGCATAATCGAAAGCCTTTTTGCAATGATCTTATGTTGTCTTTTATCTCGGTCATGAAATATCACTGATGTAGCTTGTTAAATGTAGGAGAAAGCAAATACTCAATCGACTGGCAGAAACCTCAGCTAACCATGTCAGCTCTACCGGAATATGGTTCTAATTTCCCTAGTGAATTTGGCCAACCGATGGTATTATTCTGCTAGCAGCCTTGATATTATTCTTTTTTTTTATAGAATTTATATTGCCAATGCTAAATACGCTTCTTCTGTGCTTGGCTTCTCATCCAAGTTGTACTCGAAATATTCAAATGTGGATCAGAGTTTCGGACTATTTCCTCTTTATGGAGCTCAATGCCAGGTCCGTTTATGTTCACTTTTCTTCCATCACCTAGTTAGTCGGTTCAGTCTTCTGCAACTGAATCTTTGCAACCTAGACAGTCCCATTCCTGTAGACATATCAAACTTGAATCAGTTTTCTTTACTCGCATTCAAATGGATGCGATATCATTACAAAGTCATGTGCATTTTTCATAAATCTAGATATGCAAGTTTGGTCTTTTTCGGTTGCATTGACGTTCTTTGAAGTCTTATAATGGCATGCTTTGTTCTTCAACCCATATAGGGCCGCATCATGCTTCCAACGAATTTGACAGGAGAAGACGGACCGAGATATGTGAATGCCAAGCAGTATCAAAGGATTCTCACACGTCTCAAAAGTCGTGCAAAGGCGAAATTGGAGAACTTTGGAAGAGCCCGCAAGGTAACCTCCGTATGGTATCTCCACTATGATAATAATGATACCATCATAACTGTCTGCGATTGAGGATGAGAAATGCCGGGATTGAAACAGCAAAAGCCATAGCAGTAGTAACTTTTCCTCTAACTCATGTCATATGCCCAACGTGGCAAATGTTACACCTGTTAGTTTTGAGTCAGGTTTATCTACTAGAACAAGATAATAGACTTGTCCCAGACATTTTGCAAGCTCTAAAGCTTGGCGATTCATACTATATTCTGCGTTAGAGGCTTTACTTTAATTGGATTTGGTAGAAGATTACATTATGTGATAATTTGTCATTACTCTGATATATCGTAGGATGACGACCATCTTTCTTTAACATTTCTGGTATTATGATGCGTTATGAACGTCACTCGCTTCTTCTTAGGAAGATATCTTTGCACTTAAAATCATGTTAACTTCTCTTTCTATTTTCTGATAGCCATACATGCACAAGTCTCGCCATCTTCATGCTATGCGCCGCCCAAGGGGATGCGGAGGTCGCTTCTTAAATACAAAAGCCCTTAAGAATGAAACAGCAGTAAACATGACGAAAACTGGCAGTGATGGATTATCACCGTGCCCAACTGGTCCTCGGAGCACAGAAGTTATGCAATCTGAGAGCAGAGATTTGAATGCATCGAAAGTGGGAAATAGCAACAGGACCAACGTTACCGGTTTGGAGGTGGCTAGCCTGTACTCCCCCGCATCACCTGCTGGCCAATCATGTCCGACCATGCGTTCACCCACATCTGCATTTGGATAATACGGGGCATGACATAGTTATGCCTGGAAAGTGGGCTCCAGCAGCTGATAGCTGCTGCAACCTCAAAGTCGTTTGAGGGCAAAGGAAGTGGTTCCAGTGCTAGTTTCAGCACCATGGCCACATCCTAGCAGCAACCATAAGTCGAAGCTCGGTCGTAATTACTGTTTTTACACTGAGTTTCTTGGTCTGCATGATTGTCCCACCATTTGGTTGTCCTAGGCAAATCATCCTTGGCTCATGTGCATCGAGGTTGTCTTGACCATGTTATTTGGCATGGCTTGAGGTGTTGAGACCTTGATGCCTAATAAAAGTATAATGTAAAAAGTGACAATTTTAGGTTACCGTTGCTGGATGTTGATAAGCATGTCAAATGTGCGTTTGCTATAAAAAATGACATCAAAGCTGTGCATATTGATAGCTGAGTTGCTGTTATTTGTTGGGTTTTCTGATTTCTGGCTGATTTCCTTTGATTATTTGCATTAGTGTGGCTTTCAGGCATATATCTCTTGCCTACTGAGCACAAGTTAGTGATTCAATCTCGTAGTCTTAGCGAGTGGGCACACCTCAAAGGAAGGGTAAGTGCTTGTAAAGATGATGCATTTTATGCTCGTGCAGCTGCTTGATACACCGTAGGAAAAGCAGAATTTCCGGAGTTCTAATGATCCAGTGAACAGAGCACAAGAAATAGCAAGATTAGGCAGAAGAATTCATGTGGTAGGCAGATATCCTCGCTTGTTCTCATTATTAGCGGTTACCCTCCAAAGTAGTTTTGACAGGCCAGTCTCCCTTTGGTTCGTCAACTGTAGCGCTAAAACGAAGATGGTATCTTCACAAAAGTCAAGTAATGAGTCCCTTGTAGGAGAAATAATTGCCGGGGTAGCTATGGCCATCATATGCATAGATTATCATACTTGGTAACTCATCACTTATTATGGCATGAACCTCTTAAACCCAATTCTAAAGCGGCAATATCCAGGTAGCCTTTCAGAGCCACTGTAAGAACAGTCGCAGCGACAGTCAGGTCTCAGTAGCCCCTGAAGATGACCGTCCTTCATCACTCGTTCGACGGATATAGCGTCACTAGTCTACATCCTGATCAGATGAACGCTAGTATATCCTCGTGGTAGGTTCAGTTGCAACCATACCTATGATTGAGACGAAGTGCGCATGACGGTCAATAGGTGTGATCTTCTTCTGGCTGATGGAATAGGAGGGTAATCTAGGCACTGGGGGCGAGACTATCGAATAAACCTAGTGAAGAATGGGGAATTATCTGTCTACGTCATCTCCAAACCCAATGAAGAACGAACCTAATAGAAAGAGAAGCACAGAGTAGGTGGAGTTAAGAAGGAAAAATCCTTCAAAAAGCAGTAGAGTTAGGTCGGCCGTTTTGATGATATCCACGAAACTACGAGTTTCCTTAAGCCTTTTGCAATTTCGAAAATGCGAAGGATGTATAGCTCAAATCAAAGTTGGCGTCAAGTTCCTCCCAAATCACTGAAAAATTCGCCGCTAACTGAATAAAAAATAAGAATGTAGTTCCACGAAAAGATGACCAGCCCCCATCAAATATCACAAATGACTGAAGGCGAAAAAAATAAAGCAATCAATTTAAATGGGGAAGCCTCAAGTGTCGAAACCACGATCCAGTATAGAACAATATGTATATGACTGAATAAACCAATAACCCAAGGAACCTCAACGTGCAGGCGGCGGAGGTGATAGCGCTGGTGCTGGTTGATTGCTGCTGCCGCTGCTCTTATTTTCCCACGGCCTCACAGTAAACAGTACCACAAACAAAACTATCACTAGCAAAAGTATGATGCAATAACAAGTCCACTTCCGCGTGTTCTTCTGATACTTCCTAGCGGTCTGCAAGCGCTCGGTCCCGCCTTGCACGAATGAGTTGGCTCTCGCCACCTGGCTCTCGATGTCGTCCAGCTGCTCGCCCTGAGACTGCACCAGCACGGCCATGTCCAGGAACACCTGGTGCAGCTCCTTGAGGTTCTTCTCCATGTCCTTGACGGCATCATGCCTCTCCTGGATTTCTTGTATCGTGTCCAAGACTCTCCCTCTGCCCTGCTCCTGAATGGCCTTCTGCAAGAAGGTCTCGCTCTCGCCTGCACATGAATCAGAGACTCGTAAGCATTACAATGGTAAGGCTCAAATATACCGTCCTGCGTTACAAGGAAACCAAGATAGTGAAAAACAGAGTAGTTCCACTGCCTTGATCTTCATGATACTTCATCGCAGAAATTATTCAAGTCCCTACATTCTGTGAGCTCTAAAGTGCACGATGAGCCAAGGCTGATCCTCGAAACAGAACAGAATGGCATCCGTTCCACTGTTAGCATTAAAGCATGAAGTGAACACACAAGCAAGCAAACATACAAACAGCAACCAAAATGTTAGATATACCCAATTCCAATTCTCGATTCTACAGCTTCCAATTTAGCAACACCACCAATCTCATGCCAAAACTCAACGTCGGAAACGGTTAATTTGTTATCAAATTCGCATAATTCTCAAATCTGCACTGCGTTTGACTTCTTTTTCAACAGCACACGTATACGCTCGATGCAAACACGAACACGGAAGCGCGATCCTTTCACGGAATTGGCATACCAAGTGTCGTAGCATGTTTGTAAAAATTTACCTGTGGAGATCAAGAGATCGAGGGTCCTCTCGTCGGGGTTCTCGCCGGTGACGGTGAAGTACCTCCGCTGGACGGTCTCCCGGTACTCGGACGAGATCTGCTGCCTCAGGGCGTTGAAGCCCTCCATCGAGTCCCGCAGCTTCTTCCGCAGCCCGTTCACCACGGAGGTCCGGGTCCGGTCCGACGAGGAGCCCGGCCCGCATCCGGGCTGGCTCCGGTTGGCGGCGTTGGACCGGTCGAGGGCCTCGAGGCGGACCTTGACGAGCTTGGCCTTCTTGAGCGCGGCCGTGACGTCGGCGTCCATGCGCGACCGCAGGTCCTTCACCGCCCTCGCGTTGTGCAGCGTCTTGCTCTGCTCGTGCGACGACTGGAGCCGCTGGTGGATCGACTCCAGCTCCTTGAGCTCCTCCTTGATGGACTCCACGTCCTCGAAGAACTTGTCCAGGTTGACCCCGCCGGAAGCAGCAGCAGGAGCCGCCGCCCCCGCCCCCGCCCCCGTGGCGGCCATCTCGACGTCGTAGCGGCGGTCGGAGGCGGCCCGGGGCGGGGACTGGTCGCCGCGGAAGCGGGAGAAGGAGCCGGAGAAGAGGTCGTTCATGGCGGCGACGACGACGAGAAGCGAACTGGGTTTCGCGGGTGTGGATCGCCGCGGCGGTCGGTCGAACGAATTGGAGAAGCGAAGGTTCGTTTGCGTGCCGGGGGGGAGAAGAAGAGCTCTTTGCCGGACGTTACGGTACGCACGCGGGTGTGCGGTCTGCCAGAAGAAGAAGAAGAAGAAGGAGCCAAGCGGTGGTGGTACTGGGTCAATTCACACGGCACGAGAGAGAGAGAGAGAGAGAGAGAGAGAGAGAGAGAGAGAGAGAGTATGTACAACGAGAAGTCAATGAGAAGGGTGGTGGTGGGGACAGGGTGGGGAGGGGAGGGGGAGCCGTGAATTTTCCGGGAAAAGGAGAGGGTGGGGGGTGAGGAAAGCGCGTGGGTCAACCGATGAGTGGGGGCGGCAGTGTGGAGACGGCGAAGAAGAGAGACCTGGTCAGACCGACGGGGGATTTCTTCGGACTTTTTCTCCTCTCTCTCTGATTGTTCCTCTCTCTCTCTCTCTCTCTCTCTCTCTGTTTTTTTTTTTTTGTTGTTGGATGTTTCCTGTGCACGTGCCGAGGAAGGTTCGTGTGGCATGCGCTCGTTTCACTCCGAAGGCTGTTTTTTTTTTTTTTTTATCAGAAGAACCATATTCATACAATTCTCACGACTAAGCTTGCGAGTACAACGGCAAAGCATCGACACAAAGTAGATTCCAAAGATCGGGAGGGGGGTAGAGTTTCCAATTCTGTGGCTGAACATTTTTTCTTTGAGCCTTCGCTATCCAGTTTGCCACTTTGTTTGACTCTCTATTACAAAAGGCCAACTTAATATCAGTAAAATTTTCCAACAGATCTTTGGCTTTCAAAATAAGCACATGTATATCCCACTTGAAATAATCTACACATGTGATAGCTTTAACCAAGTCTAAATTATCCGACTCTAGTAGAAGGCAATCCTTTGCCCGATCAGAGAAGAAGACTAGCGTTTCTAGAAGAGCACTGACCTCGGCTCGAGCTGCAGAGTCGGCCCTCACTGTTTTTGCAAAACCATCTACCATTCTTCCATAGCTATCTCGCATAACAGCAGCTACTGCCCCCGACGTTGAACCTTCAGTAAAGGAAGCATCAATATTGATCTTCAGGACTCCTTGTTGCGGATTTCGCCAAATTTGAGGTAAGTGTTGGCCTTCAACAGCTTTTCCTTTTCCGAAATTGCTTCCTCATGCTTCATTTTGCTTCAACTGAGCTGAATTCACCATCAATATTGATCTTCAGGACTCCGAAGGCTGTTTTGCTCAGGAAGAAAGCGCGGATAATAAGGAAAGCAAATCGAAATCCATAATATAATCAAATTACCCGTGTTAGACGAGCGCTTTAGCTGCTAAAGTGGGAGTGGGAAAACAGGGTGGCACCAAATTGATGAGAAGGGGGTCGGGTTCGGTCTCGAGACGCGGCGGATCGGAATCTCGGGGACACGACGTTCTGATCGCGGCTCGCGGGTGGATCTGATTATGAATCGGACGGCAGTCCGCGGAACCACGACGCGCCCCCAAGGGCCGGAGGCCGTTTTGGGCGGGCCTGGATAAGGGTCTCGGGTTACGGGCGCGAACGGGTTTGAGCCACACCCGGCCCCGCAAAAGTACCCATGGGCTATGCACATTTTCATGTTGGGGGCGTTTGAGCAACAAGTGAGGCTCGCGGATCGCCTCCTATACTTTAGTAAGGGTACAAAGGAGGATTGTTTTTGGGGATAAGGATACTAGAAGTGCCATAATTTTTTTTTCCGTTCACTTGAGTATCACAAATTTGAAAAATTGATCACTTGAGTGCCATCGGCGATTTGCCTCGTCTGAAAATCTGATATGGATGTCGGTTGTCCTACGTGGCTTCGCCGGAGCTAACGTGGATAATTTTTTAATATTTTTCAAAAACATTTACATGGGCTATGCACATTTACATGTTGGGGGCGTTTGAGCAAACAAGTGAGGCTCGTGGATCGCCTCCTATACTTTTGTAAGGGTACTAAGGAGGATTGTTTTTGAGTAGAAACGGATTTGACCGGGCCTCAAATTGAATGCGTTTGGGATTCTTTTTTTGGACCCATTCACATCCCAAGCATCAGCATCCGAAATCTCTCTCTCTCTCTCATGCTTCCTTTATTGTTAAAGTATGTCCACATTACCAACACAAAAAGTCACAAAAAAAACCTCAAAATATATTCATCGTGACATATTTCCTCTAAGTTTTTTTTTATTGTGACGTAAAAATTCCCAAACTATGTACACTGTAACACATTTATAATAAACTTTTTTCTTGTGTTATAAAAAATCTCAGACTTATATTTATACGACACATTTACCCTTCATCGAAGTTCTGTCAGATGATTTTTCAGCTAAAATAATGTCGTTTTTATTTCACTTAAGTCACGGGAGTGCCATGTCAACATTGTTTGCTTTCTAAAATCCATGTAGACATATTTTTAACAGTCCTCGTTGACGGAATTTTGAGATGGATAAATGTGTCATATATGTACAAATTTGAGTTTTTTGTGTTACAGAAAAAAAAAGTATAAGATAAATGTGTCACAGTAAACATAATTTATGATTTTGGGTGACTTTTGCCCTTTATAAATAGTCTTTCTCCACCAAATAAGTTTTTAGGTTTGATTCTAACGTATTATTAGTGCTAGACGTCGTTTCATGCCCCACTTCATATTTTGCTTGCGCCGTGATTTTTGTCAGCAAGTGTTGATAGATAGCAAAGTACATCGAAAGCTTATAGTTTCCCTCCACCTGATCGACTTCGATTTTCGATCGAATTTGCTAACATTCTTCGTCCTCGACCCTGTCAAGAGTCGCACCCAATAGCTTATCAAGAACAACACCTAAGAAATTAAGCAATTTGAGATCTTGATCGAGTCATGCTTCTAGATTCGTGGTGTTTAAATCCGAACGAAACAAACAAAGCCGATGCTCGGTCTTTCTCTCCTTCTCCTTCCTTAGAAAATTTTGATGGATAAACCTTGGAAATGTTTTTGAATGAAATGTGGGAATCCATCACAAAATATTACTAGAATACTCATCTACGCAAACCGTCCAACCACATTATTTCCGAACTATATAATAAACAAGACCCAATATAATTCACGCATTGTCCCCCTTACTTTATAATATTTTGTTTATGCACTCATATAATTACAAAGCAATTAAATGGTGGCCCATTTTATAACATTTCTAATAGCATGCACTCTTGTGGAACATTTGACAAATGGTTTGAGATTGAATTGTGTCGCGAGATTAACTTAATCTCCACTACCCTATCTAAATTACATATAAGTCAACTTTCGAATTTGTTGCCTACCCTTCAAATGACTAAAATGCCCTCATTTCAATATAAAAAGAATATAAGAAACCAAATTTGATATCGATGTTTCTAAATGTTTACCTAATACCTCCTACATTTATGTTGCACGTACCTCTCACTCACTTAACTCTCACTTTTGAAATCTATATTACGTCACATTTTCCTACTAAAAACAACCTGTATCCACGCATTATGTGCACAGGGGTCTAGTATCATGAAAAATACACAAGAAGTGCCATAGTTTTTGTACAACGCTGACTTTAGTGCCAAAACTTTTCGAGAAATCACATGAGTGCCACATTAGTGAATAAATGATCACTTAAGTATCTTTGACGAAAAATTCCATCGATTTATCTTACGTTAGCTTTTTAATGAAATGTTAATTCATATGTGACTTTTAAAAAAAAAAAGAAAAGGTTAATACCACGGAAAACCCAAAACCAGTATTCATGTGACAAATTTACTCCAAACTAGTACACAGGTGATAAATTTATCTAAAACTAATTTTTTTACCACAAAAAACCCAAACTTATACGCTCGTGACAAATTTATTAAAAACTAATTTTTTGACTACCAAAAACTCTAAATCGGTACACTTATAATAAGTTTACCCTCCGTTAAATTATATTAATACCACGAAAAATCTCAAATTGGTAAAGATGTGACAAATGGAGGGGTAAAACCCCAAATTAGTACATCTATCAACTGTTAAGTGTCATCCAACTCAATAATTTGATACTAAAATTTAACAAAAACTAACGGAGGATAAATTTATCACATATGTACCAATTTGAGGTTTTTGGTAGTCAAAAAATTAGTTTGTGGTAAATTTGTCACAGGTATACCAGTTTGGGATCTTTTATGATAAAAAAATTAGCTTTGTGATAAATTTATAATTTATGTATCAGTTTGTAATTTTTCTTGATATTAAAAAAAAGAAGTTAAGGTTGCGCATGACAACTTGCCAAACAGTATTTGATTCTGTTCTTTTGTTCCCAGAATCAGTTTGGGAACAGAAATGCGTTTGTTTAATTTTTTGATTCTGGGCACAATTTTGTCAAAACTTGTTCCCAGAATCAGTTTTCAAGAATAAAAAAAAAGTAGTTTCTTGATTCTGGGAACAATTTTGAGAATCAATTTTTTTTTCTTCCTTTTCTTGATTTTTAGGCTCCGTTCGTTTGGCGGAAAATATTCTCCTTTTGGAAAATATTTTCCTGGAAGTCATTTTCCTGGAAAATGTTTTCCCGGAACATGATTTTCCGGTGTTCGGCGACCAATATAAAAAAATTTCGGAAAATATTTTTCGCCAGCGGCCGGCGGCCAACGTCCGGCGTCCGGCGGCTAACGTCCCGGCGTCCGGCGGCGGCGGGGGCGGCGACGGCGGCGGCGGCGGGCGACCGGTGACCCGTGGCGGTGGCCAGCGAATCTTAGTGAAGAAGAAGAAGAAGAAGCTCCGGAAAATGATTTCCGCTTTTGAAGAAGCGGAAGTCATTTTCCATAGACTTAGGTTATTTTGTGAGGGGGGGGAAGGAAAATATTTTCCCACGGAAAACGTTTTCCGCCCCCCGAACACCGGAAAACCCGAAAAATATTTTCCGGGAGAATATTTTCCGCCAAACGAACGGAGCCTTAATGTAGCGTCTAATGTCCGGCCCGAGGACCGCCCTCGCCGGATCTGACGAGAATAAAATATTTTAATAAAAAATATTATTAAAATAAAAAATATTTTAACGGCCATGGCCAAAAAAAAGAAAAAAATATATTATTAATAAAAATATTTTAATAAAAAATATTATTAATAAAAAATATTTTACC